TAACAACTCTAAAGGTTATGGGGTTTGGGACTAACTTCCGCAGATGGATAGTTGCCATGTACACGCTCTCAACGGCGACAATAATGGTTAATGGCCATATCTCTGAGACGTTCCCCCTTCCGCGCTCATTAAGGCAAGGTTGCCCCCTTGCCCCACTCTTGTTTGCAGTTCAAATGGAAGTATTGTTGAACAACATAAGAAGACATGAGAGAATCAAAGGTCTCACCGTTGGTCCGACCCAGTGCAAGGTTAAGGCACTGGCGGACAATCTTTTTGCGGTATCCGAAAACACACTCGAGTCACTGGGAGCCCTGAAGTCAGAACTAGCAAGCTACTGCGAACTCTCGGAAACCTCAGTAAACTGGCATAAATCAGTTTACTTGCTTCCTGCAGACTTCTCATTGTCATGTGAATGGGGAATGAAACGCATAACTGATGACCTGTCGGAACGTTTTTTAGGTGTCCAAATCTCCCTCTTGGATTGCTCGGGTGACCAAGACAACGTATTGCTACAAAAATCAATGCAATGAATGGTTACGTGGGGTAAGGGCCCTCATCTATCGCTGTTTGGCAGAGCCCTAGTCGTCAATGGGGCCCTGTTTGTGTTGCTGTGGCTTGTGGGAACAGTTAGGACTCCAGGGTCACACCTGTACTCACTTGTCAAAAGGAGAGCAGCTAAATTTCTCTGGAAACCATTTGCCACAGACGAAGATTCCTTCATCTCCAACGTCGCTTGGGAGATAATCTGTACTCCCAGATCTCAAGGGGGTCTGGGGATTCTGGACCCGAAAAAACAGAACAATGCTATGCTCGTACTGTGGCTGATCAACGCTAGCCAGCAATCCCCCGCCCCACACTGGGTTATTATGGCGGAACTCATCTTGGCAGAGGAATGGAACTTGGCGAGACCAAAAGATGTTTGGCTCTGCCTGATGCTCTACTTTTTTCAGAGCAGACAAATCAAATCCCCGTTTTGGAGAGCGATTATCTTAGCATGGAAGAAGCTCACGCCAGATGTATGGGTTGAACCAACAACCAAAGCAGAAGTTTTGTCTCAACCCTTATTTGAGAACCCCCACATCCGTACTCCAAAAGGGGATTGTCTCTAGCTTCGGATGCAAATGGATTGAACTGGGGATCCTCAGAATACAGGACATTTGGGATCAAATACAGGGTAAGTGGAAATCTGAAGCCCAGCTGAGAGCAACTCTCGGCAATGTAAGGAACCTCAGCTCGAAACTGGCCTTTTTGATTGATGTGATCCCGAAACACTGGCAGCATCAGTTGGGCCCGAATGCTGTTGATCCGCCAGGTTCCTGGTTGGTGAGCACGAATGGGGATCAGTCGAAACTGTGGAAAATAATTGAATATCTACCCGATGGTAAAAGGGTTCTCCAGGGTTGGCAGATCAGCCAAACGACTTACCTCCTGCAACTTGAAGAGGACCAACAACCGCCAGTAGGCTCTTCGTTTACACAGGTTCGAGTGAGAGAAACGACTGGGTCCCGTGGGGTCCAAGGATGTGAGGTGGTTCTGAAAGGAACACCGGCAGCTGCTATGAAAATAGACCCCCGTATGTGGGAATGGCGGGCCCTGGGAAATTCCGGGGATAACCTGAGACTGCTAGACTACACTCCGAAGACTGGATATAATCAAGCAGGGCTCAGAAAGATCCTCTGACGGTGGCAAGAACGAGATGGATGGCCGTAACGAACATTGAGCCCGAAAAGATTGATAAGGCTCTGCTTAAACCACCAGTACCTCGCCCTGCTTGAGAAAAACGACGCGGCCGTATACACGCCGCGTCGGGCGGGGTACCCACTGGGGTGCGACCAGTAGCCCACAAAAAACGGGCCAAAAAAGAAACAAAAAAAAAAAACACGAAATCAAACAGACGGGCGCGCGGGGCGGGGAAAGGAGGGGGAAGAGAGAGAGAGAGAGAGAGAGAGAGAGAGATAACTTACACCTCGCTATCTCCCTCTCTCTCTCTCT